GCTGGATGTCTCATTTGAAACGATTTTCCAGGGCCACGGGGTTCTAATGAACAGCAGCCCCTGATGCCTTTGGAGTGTGGGTATCTGTAATTTTGATGTGAAATCTTACTAGTAGAATAAAAAGAGTAAAAAAAAAAATCATAATCAACTAAACAACAGTTCCTGGCCACTGGGGAGACTTGAAGGAGGCCCCGGAGCCCCTCAATTATGGAGCTTCAGTAGAAGTGCACCTTCTCTCTTAGAGGATGAGAGTAAATGATGCTCATGCTGTAATTTTTCCGAGTTTCTTCTAAATACCATGCATTGTGCTAGACAACAGGGTTAACTATTTAGTCAAGGGAAAGAAATAAAACAGTGTCAATTCCCCTTCGCACTTTATTGGTTATTGTTCCTGGCATTCCACCCTGGTGTGCCATGTCCCCATGTGGCTCTTGTGCTATTGCCTTTCTGTCATCTGAATTTGATAAACTTCTCTTCATCCATAGAAGCCCAGCCTAGAAGTCACCTCCTCCAGGGACTTATTGCTGATCCCTCTGATCTCTTCCTCCTGAACTTAATTACTTTTCATTATTTCTTTTATATCTTATACTGACTTGTATCGATCTATCTACCAAAATGCATTTTCTTGGTTTCTATTCCCGTCTCCTTATACAACTGAGATTTCCTTGAGAGTATACTATCTTGAGAGTAGTTACTATCTTTAATTCATATTGATATCCTGGGCCTACAAGGGTGCCTAGGGTATTTTAGACAATAAAGAACTATTTTTAAATGCAAACCACTGATGAAACACAAATGACAAAGTACTTGGGAATTACTGAAGCTGCATGTTGGGTACATGGAAGTTTATTACGCTATTCTCTATACTTTTTATATATAAAATTTTCCAAAATAAAGAGTACAGACTAATTGAAGACCTTATAAGATGTGTGCTATATCCATCAGAATTTTAAAGTTCCCACCATAAATGGAGCTTCTATATTTATAGCTATGATCTCTGGGTGCCCCACATTTTTTTTTCTCATAAGAAATATATGTAAAGTCATACAATGTTGCCCTGAAATAAAATACAGTTATGCCATTTTAGAACACATGTAGAATAAAGAAATTATGTTAAACTTGAATTTCTGGGGGGAAACCGAAACTTCCCCTTTATACTAAGTATTTTATTGATAAGGGTAGTCTATGGATGTTTGCCCTAGTCTCTCACCTGAATTGTCCCAGAAGCATAACTGGATATGCTTCCCATTCTCGTACTCTGAACTAGTCTTCACATACCCCCAGGTGGACCCACCTAACACTGGTCTGCCACATTGCATTCTAAGTAAGCCATTCAGCCACATCTCCCATTTCAACAGTCCCATTCCCAGGTGCTACAAGCCACTGCCCTTATCCACAAAAACTCCGGGTCACAACCCACACTTAGCCTAGCATGCTCCGTCCTTACTCTCCAATTCAGGAAATTGTTCACACACCGCCATCTCCCATACAACTGTTTCTTCTCCGTGAAGCTTTTCCTTGAGCACCTCCCATCATGCACTACTCCATCTGTGCCTCTACAGGCCATTTCTCTGACATATGCCCAGCACTAACTCCTTCTGTCTTATTTGGTAATTAGTATCCCTCACTAGCATGAAAGCTGATGGAGGGTACATTCCTTTAATATTCATTTTGCAACTCCCTCAGTCAATGCCTAACAGAGAACCTTCTGCATATTTAAAATTCAATAAGACATACAATACATGCTAAACTGTGAAATGAGATTAATCTTGTGAGTATTCTTCCTGTTTCCCTTATGAATACTCCAATATGTGTAAAACCTACAATCATTATATTAAAATCCCATTAGTCATTTTAATCCTTTTTATAAATTGCTTTTGCTTCTTAAACCTAGAATTTCATTTGAAGGAGAATTGTGTTTTAAATAGGGTCTTATCAAAATTGGAATCTAATTTAGATAAGAGCAGAAATGTTTTCCTTAACTCCTTCTATCCATAGCTAAATCTTACTAGCCATTGCAAATGATAATACATCCCAATACTAAGGTGGGCCCTCTCATTCATACAGACTTAGAAATATTTTCTAAGTTAATCCATGCAAGGAGTCACACTGGGGAAAACATTCTATAGTATCACCAGTGAAAAAGTATTGCCTTCTAAGGAAATACAAGTTCAATGTTGTTTAAAAGAAGCCCAGGTTTCTGCTCTAGGCCACAACTTCTTCACTTCTCCACCAAAAGGTATGGCTGATTCCCTGGTCTTATTCTAAGCTGTCCTTTGTATGCAGTGTAATCTCTGTGAAAAGTTGAGCAATCTACATTGAGATGGATCTTACTGGTCATTTTATCATTTATAGGTAGAAAGGATGAAGAACCTCAAATCTAATAGTTTGTGGTTTGCTCTTTATCTGCCCTTTTTCTTGTTCCTACACTTGGCTGGTGATCAAAAAGTCTAAGTTCTATTTCTCATTGGATAAAACACAGACAGGGGCCCAAGCCAGAATTCTCATATCGTATTAGTCTCATAATTGGATTCTATTTGGACTGGCCATTCATTGCCATTAAATATGAGTCACAGATGGTCAAAATATCAGTGTACTTTAGAGAAAAGGAGGTCAGAAGTCCACTGGCTTACTTTTGTTTTAAGCCTCACTCTATAAGAATTGGTAACCTGGTTATCTGGCTTAGCTAGCTTCCATGCCATGCTTGGCTCCCATACTTACATTGGGGTCAAATATTTGTAGAAATTAAATGGCTATTATGTGACCTTATTTCCTATGAATGCATTTCCTTCAAATATCTCATAGGGTGTTAGCGGGCAATTCAGGAATTTAAGAATTCACTAATTTTTCATGTAAGTTCTCATGAATTATCTTTCAATATTAGGAAAGAGGAATAAACAAAAAGTGTATTATAGTAGGAAAATAACATAGGGTTCAGGAGTCCTTGGTTTTGATTTTGTCTCTGCTCCCAGTTAGTTTGCCTTCTGATAAATCAGTTAACCTGTCTAGGTTGCAATTATCTCCTATGTCAAATGAGAAAGTTGGACTAGACCACTGTTTTCTAACATGTACTTTAGAAAAAAACGTACTCGTTTGTCAAGTAAATGTGGGATATACCTCAAATATTATATAACCTGTATCCTTGTATTTTAGCATGATCGAGGCTTATACATTGAATCCAGTTTACCTAGCTTTCTTGACATTTTACATAATATCTATAAATATGTGTATACATCTACATATATGTGTGTATATAGAACTATAGGTTCATACATGAATATGGATATTATTTAAATATGAATATGGATAGCCATCCCAATAAATATGTTTCAGTCTAGCTTAAAATTCTGTGCTTCTAGGTGGGGAAACCTACTTTTCAGATTGTTGAAACTTGCATCTAAAACTTTCAAGTTTTCATCTAAAAACTTTCAGGTTTAAGTGATATGAAACAGGACTTAAAGAAGAAAAGCTGTCAATTATAGGGTTCTTAAACTCAGAGCATTCAACTTTAAGTTTCTACATCATCAACATTAGCAATGAAGAAGTGTGTGCTCTCCCACAGTGCTATGAAATTTAACTTGCTCACATAACTCCATGGTGCTATGGAAGTTACTTTCCTCACATACCTCCATGGTGGTTCTCCTGCCCAGGCCTCTTCATCTAGCTCTGAATCCAACCCCCCACCCCCTGAGTATAATGCACTGAAGTTGAGAGCTATGCCTCAACCGAGTCCAGAGGACAAAAAATTATACAGTGATAAAGTCCAACAGAAGCAAATTATCCCACTTATAAAAAATTAAAGTTATTGGATCTGTATTTTCTTCTGACACCAACATTAATGCATTAAGGCAGAAATCTCAAAATAAGGCAGATTACTGTTTAGCACTTGGATAAGTTCATTATGCAGTGTTCTCCTTCCAGGGATCAAATAAAATTACTGTGCAATGTGAGTAAAGGAAGAAACAAACTTCTGAGCCTTTTTAAATCCCATTACAATATTATTCTCATGTATGCCTAAACAGAATCTGACAAAGAATTCTTAAAAAAAAAAAAGGTATGAAAATTACATGAGAGCTTATTATATTCTTCTACTGGTCTAAACAGAACCCAATGAACCCAGTTTATAGAAAAAATAAAGGACTTTATGAAGACAAGCATATAAAATCCTCACTGGAAGAAATATTAAGACATGTTTAAGAACTCCAATCTTTCACATTAGAGGAAAGAGAATGTGGACATGAAATTGAAGTTGAAATGATTCAAAGTATACTATTTCAATAGAAAATTGTGTCATGTGTATTTCACACACACACTCAAATTGTTAAAGCAAGGTTAACCAACTTTTTAAAATTTTTTCATTTATGCATAATAAGGTTGATTTGGTAGTAATATTAGATGGATAAGATATTTATTGGTAGCAACAATGCTGTCCTGGGTGTTTTGTTCTCAGACACATAAGCAAAGTGGCTCATTGGGAAATGTTAAAGGAAACACTTTTGCAAATTAAGCATCAAAACACGTTTTTGCCAGTTTCAAGGAACTCAATTTTAAACCAAAAGCTTATGCATTTTTATATCACAATCAACAACCTAACTCCACCCTCACCTCCTAACTAATGAGGCACACACAGGTATTTCACTCACAAATCAGGGTATAGGATGGAATTACTAATGACCTCAAGGCATGATAGCAAACATGAACTTGACAACCAAAAGCACAACCTGTTTTATCATCCCCCAACCAGAATCCTTACTTCTGTTATTTATATTTAACCCACAACATCACCCTAAACGCAAAGAGGTTGCAAAGAGAAAGATAACGGTACCAAACCCCTCCCCTCCCAGTGTCAAATATCTGGGTGAACAGCAACGAATTGCTCTAAGGCAAGCATGCATATTTTAAAACTTTCACACTTATGCAGCTTCAACTTCTGCAGGGTCTGTATCCACTTGGGAGCCAGCCCTGACCAAGGGCACACACACTGGGAGCGACCACTTTACCTTCCGAAAAATCAATCAGTCCCAGCAAGTGGAGCAGCTTCAGAGATGCACATATAATCACAACAATACCCACTGTTTGCAGTCCTTCCGACTCCCACTCCAGGGTCAGCATCCTTTGAGAGGGCAGAGCATCCCAGCCTCCGAACTGGACCCCTTTGGAGTGGAGGGAGTTAAAGCAGCAAGAATCCCAGCAATGCCTGGCTTGGAACAAAGACTCCTGAGGGGGCAAAGTGAGCGGCTCTTCTCAGATGCACCCGGCCAGGCAGCGGGCCAGGCAGCGGGCCCCCGGGCTGAGCACCGACCTGGGCTGAAGACCAGCCTCTCATGCTGGTGCTGGCATTTGCCTGCTGGTGTCCCCCAACCGCAGCAGCGCGCCCGGGACTCTGCGCTGCATCCAGTGTGTACTTGGACTTCAGAGCTGCCAAAGAGACATCTGTTGGAAAACTGGAGACTTTGCTGTGTGGGTGGAGAGGAGGGACACTCCCAGGAAACTTGCCCCGGAAAGGCCCCACGCTGAACAGTGCTGCGAGGCTGGGCAGGGCTGTCTGCGCTCTAGTTTGCTGCCTGGGAAGCTGGCGAATGTCCCCTTTCTGCCATGTAGCAGCTGCTCTCTCTTCCCAGAGCTCGCACTGCGAGAGTGAGCTCAGCCTACCTCTTAGGATGCTAGGAAAAATCAGCCTCAGGGGCTGGTGACTAGACCCTTTTCTGAAAGCCCCTGGGGAAGTCCAGAGGCAGTTTTTCTAGGGAGAAAAGTGCAGGAGCCAAAGCATCCATGACTCAGTGGCTTTGTCAAAGGTGAGCATCCACGCCGCCTCCCACCTGTGACTCCACTGGGACTGTTGTGGTCCTCGCTGGCACACAGGGAGAATGACTTAGCCCTTGTACTTACAAATCTGCATGGTGGAGGGTGGGGTCGAGCAGATCTCCATAGGAATACTGGTGTTCAGTAACCGCCCCCTGGAGAGTGAGTACCACTAGCATCCTTTGAGGTCTTGTCTCCAAAGTTTCGCAAACTTCCCTAAGGATCAATATCACCGGGTGCCTGTCAAGAGCACTGTTTTAGTCTGATTCAGAGGACCTTGGAGTTTGTGTTCTTAAACTGGAAACGAGGTGATTCTCAGAGAGGCGAGGGCTGTGCTGCCTCAAAAGACTCCACACTACATATGCCTCAAAAGACCCCACACCGGCAAGCAGCTCAGGTGTGGCCGTGGCCTCTGGGTTGTGCCAGGACCACACTGGCTTCCTCAGGCTGCCTGTTTCCTCCATGCTGCTGAAGCCCAGCCCTGTTGAAAAGAATCAACGGGGTATCTTGTGTGTGAAGGACTGTAGCCCCTGGTACTGACTGTGAAATAAAGGGTGTATAAGGAATATCTTAGGCCCCGAGGGGCATTGCTTGGTTTTGCTATTTTCTTGCTGTGTAATTTTCTGCAAGACACTTCCCTGAAAGCAGGTGTTTTTTTTTTTTTTTTTTTATTTTATTTATTTTTTTTTATTCTGCAAAGTTGCAATTATAATACATTAATGTTTTATTTAAATTTCTCCATTTAAAGAGAATTATGGTAATTCAAAATTCATAATAGTAGTTAATATTTACTGAGCCTTGACTTTGTGCCCATCAATATTAGAGTGATTTATCAACTAACAGCCCTCCAGCTAATTTTTTAAAATTAATTTTAAAAATATATATTCTTATTGATTTCAGAGAGGTAGGAGAGTGAGATAGAAATATTAATGATGAATGAGAATCATTGGTTGGCTGCCTCCAGCATGCCTCACACTGGGGATCGAGCCTACAACTGGGGCAAATGCCCTGAGTGGGAATTGAACTGTGACCTCCTGATTCATAGGTCTATGATCAACCACTGAGCCACACCAGCTAGCTCCCACAGCTCATTTTACAGGAGATATTAGCTTATGTGCCAAAGTTGTGGGCACTGCACTAAGTAGATAATAGGCATGTATTCATTCACTCAGTTCTTCATTAACATTGTTAAGCTACTACTATGAGCTATGAATGGTACATGAATGACAAAATGGCAAATACTGCCCAAATCTGTCCTTTGGGAACTTACAGGTTAATATGGAAAGTGGGTATTAAATTGAATGTGCTCAATAGAGGCACCAGCACTTGAAGGCAAGGCTTTGCAGGGAACTCTGGGAGTACAAGAAGGGAGAACCAGATGCACCTGCAAAAGGTGGTGGGGGTAAGAAGGAAAATATTGCACTGATGGTAGCTTTTATCATGATTAGAAGTTGTGCATCAGACACAAGTTTTGGGATTCTGTCACTTTACCTGGTTCTATCACTTGCTCGCTATGTGAGTTTGGAGAAAACACTCCATTTCTGAGTCTCTGTTTTCTAAGTTCAAGAGGAGTGTGTGGCTGCCTTCTTCTCATGGTTGATGTAATAGCAACTAAGATGCGGAGAGCTGTGCCCAGCCCCTGGTGTCCGCTTGCTCAGCACATGGTAGTTGTGGGTTTTGTGACAGATTTGCTAGCTCTTTAGAGGCTTGGCTGGGCCAAAATGGATGAAGTGACTTTGCTCTTCCCTGGTCCTGACACTCTTTCCTGGCCCTAGGTCCAGTTCTTATCTTCTTCCCATGAAGACTTCCCCATCAATCCAGTCTAAAGGCATTCCACGCTAGGAAAATACTTAGATCGCCAAAATGAAAAGCAATGGTGCTTTTCATTTTGGGTAATTTACTAATGGGAGATATCTTTCTATCAATCTGGCCAATGCCCTGTCCATCTGAATATGTTGTTTACCATTCAGGAAATATCCACAAAACAGTGAGGCTTCGGGAAGCAGTTCTCAATAGTTGATGGGAAAATACACATCTTAAGTAACCATTCTCTGAAATTCCTGCCCACATACAACTAAAGGAAGTCAAAACTTTAATGAGAAAGAAACATAAATTAATTAGGTCAAGTCAACTCTGTCTCTTTTAATCATACACAATACCACTTTAGAATTGAAAAAAACTCAAAAAACAAAGGTATGGAATTAAGTGACTTGACCAAGGTTACAGGGCTAGAAAGTAGTAGTTCCTCAGTCTATGTTGTTCACCATTTCCCCTAGATGAGTGAGATCATGTCCTACTGGAAATATACTTATAAGAATAAAAAATGAGACAAGCAATAATCATTATGCTGAGAATTCAAACATTTCTTAGTCGGATTCCCAAATTTATTCTTCTTAATACCCCTCAACAGATTTTAACAACTATTTTTCAATTAATCCCTTGATTTAAATGGTTAGGCAAAGTATTTAAAAATTGTCACATCAATTTTCCAGGAGAGAAATCCCAAACATTCTTAAAAGTCACATAAATACCTACAGATATGCTTTTGTTGATTCTAGGCAGGACTTCCCTTTAGGACAATGAAATTAGTACAAGATCCAACATCTGAGAATGTTGGTGCCTCAGCCCTTCACCACCTATTGACTTCCCTTTACCACCGTTTTTCTGAGCTCTTTCTGTTGCCTTATAGGATCTCCTGGCTCCTAAATATACCACTGGCTCTTTCATATGCTATCCCCAAAGCATGATTTTATAAGGCAATAGTACCATCAAATAATTTCACACATCATCTGAAAACTTGAGAGAAAGGCGGAGAACTGAGCAGGAGTGTTTTTCTAGCGACATTTTGGAAAAGAATAGTTGCCTACATATTACTTAACAAAACATAATTTCAGATGGCAGCTCTATCACTTAGTTGCAATAATTTGCAAACTCCACCCCTATTTGTTGTATTAAAATATACCCTGGCTGTCCTTCTTTCCAAGATCACCCTTTCATTCCAAAGGAAAGGAATACCAAAGAGATAAACTAGCATTTCCTTCCCACTTATCTCTAAGCCATAATCTGTGCTTTCCTTGTATAAATTTATTCAATCTTACTGCAAACCAGAGAGGTGTTTTTATAAAAATAAAAACCAAGTTTGATTGAGATTAAATTACAAAATCACATTTAATAAAGAGCACAATCAAGATTTGTATCTGATTTACTCCAACAATAATAGCTGCTAACGTTTAGGGAGAACTTAAAAATGCCAAAAAAAAGCAGTATTCTAAAGTCTTTACACACACACACACACACACACACACACACACACATATAAACATAATATGTAAATACCGTGTTTCCCCCAAAATAAAACATCCGCCGAAAATAAGACCTACAATACTTACAGGTTTCCTTCTGAGTGAAATATAAGGCATCCTCCCCCAAACAAGCCCCCCCCCCCCCCAAGGCTCTCTTAGAATGCTATTGCTAAACATGAGAGATTTGGTCCACTGATTCTGAAAGAAATGGAGTCACAAGAAATTCACCAGGAAATTCAGGAATTGGATTGTTGTGATGATGTTCCAGAAGATGATGATGTGATTGTCATTGAATAAATGAGTAAATTCTTGATACTGTAGGATTCACAGTTTGTCTGGTTTGTGTTGACAACTACCATACTATTGTACCGTATACAGGTAATAAATTTCCTTTATTTTCATTTAACAATAAATGTGTACCATATTCCTCTTCATGGAAAAATAAGACATCCCCTGAAAATAAAACCTAGCGCATCTTTGGGAGTAAAAATTAATATAAGATACTGTCTTATTTTTGGGGTAACAGGGTAGATTGAATGGAGGAACAACCAAACAATGGTTGCTATGATGTGCACTCACCACCAGGGGGTGCGTGCTGAACATGGGGGATGTCAGCAATAGGTGGCAGAGTGTGGAACATGGCAGGTGTCAGCCTTGGCAGGATGGTGGAGCAGGTGAGCAGGGGCACCAGACCAAGGTGGGGCATCAGTTGCTATCATTGAGCTGAGCCTCTGGTGGTTACTGAAAATTCTTTGCTTCCACACACCACGGTCCTGCCCAGAGCTTGCACCTGCTGCTGTCCGTGATCACCCCTGAGGGCTTCTCCATCTTCTCCTGCTCCTGAGGGGCCATCAGGGTCAGCAGCCACCTCTTGAGCCACTGCCAATGATGGCTCTGCCCACACCTACTGCCAGCACCGGAGCTGCCACTTGCACCCGCTGCCAGCACCTGGTGATGGTCTGATTGCTCAGTGCCATCAGTGGGTGAGAGCTAAGACTGCCCACCCAGATTGCCTCTGAGGGCTTCTCCACCTCCCTCTGCTCTTGAGGGGCAATCCAGACGCTCATATCTGCGCCGACCCCAGTGGCTCCTTGCTGTCAGCAGGTACCTTCTATGTCTGGTCCTAGGCTCTGGTGACTCCTTCTCGCTCACTTGAGGTAGGACCCTTCTGCCCCAGATACATCACTTCCTTAGCTTGTTTTCTCAGTTCTTAGGCACAGGATTCCCGTAGAATCTGATTGACCTGGGAATTCTCAGAGCTGCATTGGCTCATTTCCTGTCGCACAGCAGCACTTTGGAAAGAGAGCTCAACAGGTCTAGATTTAAATGCTTTTCAGGCCTCCAAAAACTCTGAATAATTATCTGGATCATGTCTGTATAAAGTGCTGTAAGGACTATGTGAAAAAAAATATTGTAGAGTTCTCAAGATCCTTTTCTAAGAACACTTCTAAACCCCTTTTATCTCTCTCTCTCTCTCTCTTTCTCTCTCTCTCTCTAATTAGACACCAAACTCTAGAATTTTGTTTTTTAAGTTTAAATGGTCCTTGATTTAAGTATAAGAGGCACACACACACACACACTTATCACGAAGACCATTTCTTTC